TGTACAGAGGGGTTACAGTTACATAAGTCAGGTAAAGAGTGTATTTCTTTTTGGACAATGTCATTCCTTCCCTCAAAAAATTTTTAAACATGCCTTGAACCTAATTGCTTTTCCATGTTCAGGTTAGGCAGTAAGCTCTAATGTATTTTTGGTCATTAATTTAAATGTTGTGTTTGACTTAACTGGAATGTTCACACTTTGGTATAAATCAGCTACAGAGCACATTTATAGTCTCCATTTATGTTGCCTGCAATGATTAGTGGGTCATTCTGGCCTGTGCCATGAGAACCTTCTGGAATTCACATCTCTTTGTGGCTACATCTTATGCCCAGGTCCACCTATGCCTACATTCACATTTTCTGCCTAAGTTTAAGAAAAGCAAAACACCTGACACATTTGTTCGAGGTCCTTAAAGAGGATTTTCCTTTGCTAGATCCACTATTAATTCATTTTATTTTTCCTCTAGATCAATCGCACATTGTAGTTTTAGCAGTTTTTCTTTCAAGCTAACCAGTAAAAGGGAAAGGAATGACTTTTCAAATGATTTTGGAAAAAAATCTTCCTAGATCCTTATTTCTTAAATGTTAATGTGCATAGAAGAATCACCAGGAGAAATGGCAGATTTGGTTCAGTGGGAGTATGGAGAGCCCAAGATTCTGTATTTGCTGGCAGTTGATGTGAGGTGGATATGAGGTGGATGCTGGCAGTGTAGAGGAGACTGGAGTATGACCTCTTCTGATTGTTGGTAGGGAAGAGCTGCTCTTTATGCAGGTTCAAGGTAAGAGTGCTCATTTAAATACACGTGTGAATCATAGTCTCCAAACTCTGAGAGCCAGACTATGTTCTTTAGAAGAGGACGTAAAGAAATCACTTTAGTAAGGAGGAAAATATTTTAAAAACTTATCCCTGTATTCTAACTTATTAAGAAACCGAAGCTGCTGGGTGCTGATGGTTCACACCTGTAATCTTCGCTATCCAGGAGGCTGAGATCTGAGGATCATGGTTCAACGCCAGCCCAGGCAGGAAAGTCCAGGAGACTCTTATCTCCAATTAATCAGCAAAAACTAACAAAGGAGATGTGACTCAAGTGGTACAGCAACAGCCTTGTGCAAAATAGCTGAGAGTGAGAAGCCCTGAGTTCAAGCCCAGTACCAGTACCTGCGCGTGTGTACACACACACACATACACACACACACACACACACACACACAAAACGTATGGAAACCACTTTTTTTCTTAGCAAATCTGTAGCATTTGAGATAGAAGAATGTTCTGATTGGCCAGCTAGATGCGAAGGCTAGAGAATGACCAGAGACCTTTCCCATTGGTCAAGATAGTTTGATGAATCAGAGCTTCACACTTCACAATGAGAAAAGAAAGAACTCTCTTGGAACAAGCATGGCACACAGGCACATAAGCCAGGCCCAAAGAAACATAGGTCCCATGGTTTCCCTTATTTTATTTATTTATTTATTTATTTTGGGTCCAGTCGTGGGGCCTGAACTCTGGTCCTGGGCGCTGTCCCTCAGCTCTTCAGCTCAAGGCTAGCGTTCTACCACTTGAGCCACAGCGTCACTTCCGGCTTTTTTTTTCCTTTTTGCTTATGTGGTGCTGAGGAATCGAACCCAGGGCCTCAGGCATGCAAGGCAAGCACTCTACCACTGAGCCACCTTTCCAGCCCCTTATTTGCAATAACTAGTATATGTCTGAGTCAAGCAGAAAAGGTCAGATAAGTTGATGTTAGGGAAATGAACCCTAAGATATGTATTCAAATGCTTTTTTTCTTTCATGCGATTGTTTCTAACATATTTATAAGATTATTTCTTTGTTGCTTTGTATGTCCCTCCCCCATGGTATAACCCCTGCTTTTACTGTATTTGATGTTGGTATAATTTGTGGAGGGGAAGGGAAAAAACAAATCATTTAAATAGGGATACAGGTGGACCCATTGCAACAATGAGATGTATGAGTTGTTATGTTGAAAAACGAACTTTACAACTTTGGTGTGGGGGGGGGCACGTTCGTTGGGGGGGGGGAGTATGGGAAGGGATGGGAAGGGGAAACGAAGGAGGAGGCTACAATGCTTGATAAGAAATGTACTCATTATCTTGTCCATGTAATTGTAACCCCTCTGTACAGTATTTTCACAATAAAAAAAGAAGAAAAAACTGCAAAAAAAAAAAAGAAAATACAATCAGGCTGTGTGTATTACATTTCAATCTCTCCCTCTCAAACTCCACCAATAAAATTTGTTTAATAAAATCACTAGGGAAGGCAGGTGCCGATTAAAGACAATCAGGCTTACCAGCCATCTTAAGACTCTGAAAGCCTTGGCCTGGGGTTGCGGTGAGAAATAATGTGTTTATTGTGGATAGAGTAGTTGGGGGAGAGTGGGGAAAGAGGAGGCTGTAGGAGAAGGTCCCTCTGTCCCATTTTCTGACCACATAAATGTGTGTAAGGGTTTCTGCTGAGGCACCAAGAGCCTATTTGTATGATTGCTATCCCTAAGAGAGAAGATAACTTGGAGACATCTTAGATTGGCTCAGCCTCAAATCAGGCCAAGAACACTCAGATAATTTTCCTGCCTGCCATCCACCCACTATCCCCTCAGTACCTGCACTATATCCTTAGAAACTGAACAGCTGCAGACACACAGATCATCACAGACAGCAACAGGTCACCTGAAGGTGATGGAATTAGCCTGGAGTTGGCTGCTAGATCACAAGATGGCAGCTGGTGTTATACTTCAAGTGGTGGACACTGGCTTTGGGCATGTTGGACACTTCCTGTTGTCTCTGGATTTCTCAAGGCATTTGAGAAATTTAGCTTGTTTGTGATTTTCCTAATATTAATTCTGACAATTTTGTGCTCTGGGAAATCTCTTTCCAGCCAACCATAATGGTTAATTTCTTAGACTAGTGAAATCTGAGTGGTGAAGAAATGATGAGGGATGATCTGAAGTGAAGAGAAAATTTCAAAGAAATGGAAAGATGGAAATCTCTTTTATCCTGACTCTGATAGGTTAATAAAGAGAAAGGCATTGGGAGAGGATTCGATGTCAATTAGCATAGGTTATAGTTTCCATACCCTGGTTATTTGCAGCTGGGATGTGTTTTATTCTGATGACATCACTGACTCCCTTCCACATCACTGAAAGTTCAAAGATGTAGACAATGTGGGAAATGCTCGTACCTGTGCAGTCAGCAAGAGCATGGTCATCAACTCTAACACTTCAGAAAAGGAGGCTAATGGAAAGTTGAGTCCGAAAGATGAAGAGATAAACAGACCTAACGTTTCGTTTGCCTCTACTTACTCAGGTCACAGCCCTGGGATTCATTTTCTGAAAGTCAAGGAGCCAAGAAGAACCAATTTCCAAATCATAAACTACCTCATAAATCAGACGTTAACAAGAAAACCCAAAACAAATGTAAAAAACAAACTTTTTTCGTTTGTTTTGGGTTGTTATTGAGATAGGATCTCACTGCGTAGCCCAGGCTGACCACAAACTCCTCATTCTCCTACCTCTACATCCCAAGTGCTGGGATTACAAGTATGTACCATCATGCCCTGGCAAAAGAAAACTCTTGAATGAAGAGGTCCACCTTGAACTCTTAAAGTAATAGACACCAAGTTCCTGAACAATACGCAACCATACATAACAAAGATATCAAAGACTTTTATTTTTGACCCTGACTCTAGTGTCCATTTTAACCAAGCTGGATTAATTCATGACCAAGGAGCCTTGAGTGCTTATGTTTATTTATCATATTCAATATTCCCATAAGCACAAATGTTCCAAATGGAAGGCTGCTTTTTGTTAATGCCCACTTCTTCATTAAGATTTCATCATTCACCTACATTAAAAAGCCTTTCCCTACACTTTGTAGCCGTTGCTTTCACCTTGTGTATTCCTGTGTTATTTGCTTCATCTTGAGTTCCTGATTTCCAAGGCACTCAAATTCGAAACAAGCAAAGTTTGTGCATTAGTGTATCCTGAACATACATGATTTATGAATGGCAGGTTTCTTGGCACAATTGAGAGAGACTTTATTTTAAACATTAAAATGCGAGTCAAGAAGTGGCAACAATGGGTGGAAAGAGGTCCAGAGTTCACCATTTCTTACCTGGTCCAGTTTTGAGTATGTGGACTAATGCTCTTAATAAATTATACAGAGCCCTGACATTTGACCAACTAACGAAGTCTCTTAGATTGTTATTCTGATGACTAACCTAGCTGAACTGCAAAAATAAAAATTAACATTGATACAAATAAACACTCTTGCAGAGTTGTAAGGCATTCTATTGTCTTCAGACCATTTTTTTCTACCATAATTCTTCCTCTAACAGTCTTTTGAAAATCCAGTCCATCAGCCAATGTTACAAAATATTTTAAGAAACAGTCAAAACCCTCATAATCTCAAGAGGAGTATTCTTCCTGAGTAAAAATAGTCTTGTTATATGCCTAACACAGAAAGTTCACTATACAAGTTTTTTTTCTCATTACAAAAATAATGCACAATAATACATCTGTTGTATAATGAAAACCTAAAATCTACTTGGCACTAACCATGAAAGGATTTGTCCCATATAATACCTTATATTTGAGGTCCTTCAACAAAAATCCCCCACAAAGAGGCCACAACTAAACTTTCTCAGTGCATGGTTCAATGGAAGAACTTGTGAGATTGTAACTCATATCTTCAAATGCCAGCATAGGAAGTTTACAGTTACATGCTTGATGTATCTTTCAATGATTAGTCCTAAGTGCTGCCAGAAGACCCAAAGGACTTCTGTATTCACATGAGGAAATAAGAGTGGACAAAGCCCATGGCTTAAGCAAGCTCAGGATTCACAGAGAAGTTCTTCTGCAAGCCTTTCTGCTCTAGGGTGGAAGTTCTCTAAACCACATCCATTATTCAAGGCAGTTTCCTTATCCACTCCTAAGAACCCTGGCCAACAAATGGGTACAGTGCCACTCAGCACATGGACACATGAGTTACCTTGTAGATTTTGCAATGGCAAAGTCATAATGCCTCCAGCTGCAGCTGCTGCTACCAGCCCTTGGATGTTGGTGAGATTCGCTGTGGGCAGGGTGAGGACCAGGCCTTGCTGACCCCCTAGCTGTCCAGCCATGTTGAAGGGGATGAGGATGGGCTGATTGAGGGCTGGTGGGCCTCCTGGCATCACGCCGGCCACAGCAGAGGCTAATTGCTGTGCCGTCAGAAGAGGCTACAAGAAAACAAGAGAATTCCTGCTCAGTTTACAGTGAACAAGACATGGGCTTTCAACACTTCTTCCCCACCTGCACCTTAGCAGAATCAGAAAGTTCCATAAGTAACAGAGAAATGCTCTATCCCAGAAAAAGTGATTTATCTAGTGTGAAAAATGTTTTGAAATTATATCTCATTGGAAAATTTTACCTGGTTTGGGGAGCTCAAATACTTTTAAAAGTAGTATCTTGTAGTTGGGCACTGGTAGCTAAGATTACTCATGCTTGTAGTAGTCGTTACTAAGGAGGGTGAGATCTGAGGATCACAGTTCAAATCTAGCCCATGCAGAGAAGTCTGTGAGACTCTTTTGTCCAATTAACCAGCAGAAAGCTTAAAGTGGATCTATGGCTCAAGTGGCAGAGTGCCAGCCAGCATGAAGCCCTAAGTTCAAGCTCCAGTACTGGCACACACACACACACACACACACACATGCACGTATGCACACATGCACCTTACTCTTGTACATTACAATCTCAATAAATTTTCATTTGATTATAACACATGTATTTGAAGCTGTTACATGATTTGTTATCTATTGGTTCAGAAAGAATTCATTGAAATGGATGGGATCTGGGGGTTCAAAAGCAGCAATGAAATACTATTTTCAGCTCTTGAATTAACAAAAATAAGGTAAAAGTTTTTTTTTTTTTTGATGCTGGTAAGTCTACAGTGGCACCGTGATGCAGACCTGGGGCTGGATGCCACTAATCCTTCAGGAAAGCAACTTGAAAATAGGAACGAGAGTTGCAAATATATCCATCCCTCTTTGACTCCGAATGCACTTCTAAGGTAGAACTTGAAGACAGAATTTAACAGAAAAATAGATAAATGCATGAAAATATGCACTATATTTTAAAATATATAAGTGATAGAAAAATAGTTTGCTATAGTACCAATCTAATTGGTCTGCTACAGGGTTACAAAAGTAGATCATTGGGACACTTCAGAAAAATAGAAAATGTGTGTGATATAAAAAAATTACACATATATTAAAATGTAATATATAATATAAATGCATATTATATAAGTCCATTATATGTCATATAAATAAAATATATGCACATATTTTATAATGTGTTATATGTATAAATATAAGAATATATGTAAATATTATATTATACATATATAATATAAATATATTTACATATGTACATGGCACATATCTTTGTACATATATTTATATAATATACTTAAAATTTTATATATAAATATAACACATTATATTTTGATATTTATATTTTACATGTATAAAATATAATATATTTACATGCAATATTATAAATACATATTATATACATATATGCATGCATATATGTATATATAATATTATATTATTATATATTATATTATATGTTATACTATATATTATATATTATATTATATACATATACATATTATATGATGTGCACACATATAACTTAATATAAAATATTATACATGTTGAAATATATGAAAAGAAACTGGATATTTAAGTAAATGGACAATTATTAAATGGCACAAAGTATCTCTGTACAAGATCTAAAATGGAATGTAAAAATAAGAATTTCAGATTTTAAGATAAAATGTTTTTCTTTTGCTATCACTCTAAGGTTCCCTGCCCAGTTAAAAGGATATTATACAGTCATTTGTTTCCTATGGAAAAGGAACAAGAGAACTTACTAGGGATGTTGTTTCTTACTGGGAAGGGGGCAGGGAGTGCAGTACAGGCAGGGAAATGGAATGGAAGATGGTGTACACCTGTGAAGACCTAAGGATGAAATCTCTGGGGGTCCCTGCCCCCCATAACTGACATAAGCCCATAAAAAACAAAACAACAACAACAAAAATGTTTGTTTATGTGCACAGTTAATTCAGTAGTCATTGGTCGAAACCCCACATCTGGTGCCTGGGGAGGGCCGGTGCCAGAGTAGCACAAGAAGCGCCTCTCTGACTGCAAGAGATGACCACCAGGGACATTTGACCTTAGAGTCCAGCCCATTGTCCAGGACGTCGATTGCAGTGCTGGGGTTGCTGCCATGTGAAACCTGATCCCAGGCCAACTTTCCTATGCAAGCCTCTCTTCTAGGGAGGGTCCAACTTCCTTGTCCAGTGATGTTGTAAAGGAAAATGTAACTAAAGGTGGGCACAGTACAAAGCTCGGTATATAGTAGCCAGCCACGATGCTAACAGTGTGACCATCCTTCAACGAAGTACAGTGAGACTAGCAGTGCATTTCCTGTGTGTAGAGGTCCAGCCCAAGTCTAGGAGAGACACTCTAGACTCGCTTTACACCTTTCTCTAATACAAGGAGAAGACTAGGAGGGGCAGGGGTGTTCCATTTGAAGATAAGGGAGGAGTGGGAAGGGCTGAACCTACTCTTTGGCCACCTGCTGTTTCCTGTGTCCCCTCTGGAGAGACCCTCAGAGCATATGTGCAGGTACAAGTGCACACAACACAAGAAGACACTGATGCACAATTCTGCCCAACTTGGCTTCCTGATAGATGTCTCCTTGGCTTCATGCCCACAGACACAGAGCGGCCTGGGCATGGGGATGGGCGATGGGATCTGACACCAGGTGGTGATAGAGATAAGAACACCAAGATGGACTTCTGCTAGGCACCTGCACAGAGCTGTCTCAGAAGACCATTGATGGCAAGCAGGGATAGAAAGACCCAAATACTGGTTCCCACAAAAGCAAGATAAACTAAATGCTTCGCATTGGACAACAGAGGCAAAAATAAATAAATAAATAAATAAATAAATAAGTAAATAAGCCCAGCTATTTATAATTGTGTTCTACATCTCCATATAACCCACACCAGGCTGCAAAAAATATTGGACTTTAAAAAATAATGAATGTATTTCTTTATTAATGCAGGAGCTATGTGTGATGTACAGTATTGTCAAACCCAATAAGCTGAACTTGCATTAAAATTGCATTAACTTTTTTATATTAAATCACATCTTGTATTTCAAAAAATGCCTATAGTAAGGTTGAAATAACTTAATTTTCTCTGCACTCCAGTCATTAAAGTTTTACTTTTGAGAAAACTGACTGGTAGACATCAGCACAGAAAGAGTAGGTTTTAAGGGGGGGGGTGGAGAGAGGGAGGAAACAGGGAAACAGAGAGAGAGAGAGAGAGAGAGAGAGAATGTTTCCAAATGATTAAAACCAATTCTTCCTTTGAGAAGAGGGAAGAGTTTTGCAAACACATATTTTCTCCATGGTACTTAATAAATAATGTAGCCCTATAGCTTCCCTTATACAAATTTATCACTATCATAGCTCTGCTGGAGTTAATTAGATTTAACTCATGATTATTTATTTGGTGATTTAGATGGTTAAGTCCTACTAAATGCAATTGTGGTGAAAAGCAGATGAGAGCTTACTAACCTGTGACCCAACAGGAAATGGAGGGTGTGTCTGGCCTGCCTGGTGGTGGTCAGGAGTGCCTGGGTCTGAGAGCGGTGGTGCGCTTCCTCTAGCCCCTGGAATTCAAAAAGCAAGTATTCCATTAGTAAAAGGTCCAGCCTGGGAATTGTAGATGACCCCGTGGCCTGCGATGTCACAAAGTCATCGAAGCACAAGGCACAGACATGGCAATGGCTTGTTAAGCGCGCTAGTGCTCAGATCATTCATCACCTGCATGAGTGATGTGAAGAGGATTCAGGATGGCCAAAGCCATCAGGGGTGGGACCCAAGGGCAGTCGGTAAAACACAGCACCAGCTGCAGTAATAGGTGGTACCTCGAGACTCAGTCCCCAACAGTGCATCCTTCATGTGAGAAACAGCATCCTTGATGCACAGACAACAGAACTGGGCTGTCGGCACCAAGCGAAGGGAAGTAAGATCTCAGACGTGACCAAGGCTACCTACCCACATTATCCCCAAATATCGCTGTTCCCTTTTCCTCTGTGCTCCACATCCTCTTTCATTCAGATTTCAGATTCTGAGGCTTTGGAATTCCCTTTCCTAAGAAATAAAGCATTTCCCCACTTTATCCCATATCCTAAAAGGAATACGGATCTCGCAAAAGAAGTTGCTTGGGGCTACCAAAAAGAGGGAAGACCCACATTATTCCACAGAGGGCCATTTGGCTGGGCATTGAACACAACTGATGTCCTAATCAAGGATGATGTCTGTACTCCCCAAAAGGAAAAGGGCCATTCCATCACAACAGTAGATTCCTAATGGTCCCAGCGTGTGTTCATGTGTTTTCTTTCAGGACAGACCAGAGAGGTTAAGAATTTATCAGAAGAGGGAAACAGGTGGACATAGAACAAATCATGCGAAGAGTGAGGTAAGCCAAGCTCAGAGAGACAAACAGTGCATGTTTTCTCTCATGTATGGAAGCTAGATCTAAAATACACCAGGACCTGATCAATTAGACAGGACTCTAGGCATTCACACACAGTGAGACCAAAGGAGGAATATCTTAATGGAGGAACACAAAGGTGCAATGCTTCTGTGCCTCTGATCATGTAAAACTCTGTGTATCGAAATGAGTTCTAGGAAAATGGAAACAAGAGGTTTGTTCTTTTTTTCTTTATTGTTTGTTTTTCTGTCTTTGAGGAGGGGTAAAGAAGGAACAGACATGGAGGGACAAGAATGAACAAATGCAGCAATGGTACTCAGTAGACTCTATCTGAAAATGAACTATATAACTTGTGGGCAGGGACAGAACGGAAAAACTGGGAGAGAGTGAGGGAAGGGGTGACATTGTCCTAAAAGAAATGTACTTGTCACCTGACTTATGAAAAGGTACCCCTGATGTACAACACCTTTATAATAACAATAAACAATTTAAAGTAAAAAAACAATTTGGAAACAAATACTTGCATAAAGAAGGAAACAAAACTGGCAGCCAGTTTTGAAGGTTGCCTTGCTGGCAGCCTTTTGTTTTCTTGGAGTTTTCTCATGGGTAAGTGTGAACCCCTTCCAAGCAAGGTTTTAACAAGATCCCTCTTTCCTGATGTTTGTCCTATAACTAGCAAATGGAAGACAATTCAGACCCTGTTTGCTGGCATGCTATGGACGAACAGAGGGGAAAAAAAATAGATATGATTCTGTCACACTTATAAATTTTAAAGAAGGTATTATTGGCTCATTTAAAACAAATTCTTCTATAGAGTCTCCAAAGGGACAGGCTTATAAATAATGGAAATGTGCAAAAAATACTTCACCACATTAAGCTACAAATAAAATTGACTGCTACATATTATTCAATTGACTTCTATCTCCATTGTGATGTGTCAATCAAAACAGCATTTCATAATAGGATTAAGCAATAAATGTGGAAAGCCATTATGCAGAAATCTGGAAATCTGATTAATTTGTAATATTTTTGTGTGTGCACAAAGTCAGGAATGGACATTGCTTGGGGAATACTTACAAGCATTCTATTGAAATTTCTAAATTGATTTGGAGCAAACTAATAAAAACATAGACTTGCTGACATTTTATAAAGTGAATTCTGTCAAAATATGTTTGGCATTTTAATGATCGCTGTCATTTAATAACAAGGGTATGACGACCCATCAAAAGATGCCAGCCATTTCCATATAACATGCAGAAGACCATTCTCAGACTTTTTATACGTGATTTAGCTATTACACTTGTAAAGCAGAATATTTTAAGTTAGGGAAGGCCTTATGCCGTGTAATTCTCACAGTTTCTACTTAGTCTTTTGTGTGTGTGTGTGAAAATACTGTTCAGAGGGGTTACAGTTACATGAGCAAGGTAATGAGTACATTTCTTATCAAGCCTTGTTGCCTCCTCCTTTGTTTTCTGTTACCATCCCTTCCCATCTCCACCCCCCTTCTCGCCCCCGCCACAGTTGTAAAGTTTGTTTTTTGACATAACGTTTTGTACATCTCATTGTTGCAATGGGTCCACCTGTATCCCTATTTAAACAATTTGTGTTTTCCCTTCCCCTCCACAAAGTGTACCAACATCAATTACAGTGAAAACAGGGGTTATACCATAGGGGAGGGACATACAAAGCAACAAAGAAATCATGTTGTAAGTATAAGTCTTATTTTACCTTAAAATCCTCAGCAGAATTTTCTGTACTTTAAAAAGCTTATGGAATCCCCAAATGATGCTTTGGGTCAAATCTTCAGGTTAGGCTAATTTAAAAATGGCTAAAAATGCAGAATTTATTTTCTTTTTAAATGGCTGTTTTTCTCATGTTGTCAGACATGTACTTTTTTACACTAGACCGTGAAAAGAAAATTTTACAATAGAGAAAAACGGGAAATCCCTTTCTTTTATAGTGCATTTGTGTGTGTGTGTGTGTGTGTGTGTGCGCGCGCGCGCACGCGCGCTCGTGCGCACGTGCTGCTACTGGGGCTTGAACTCAGAGACTTGGACTCTTATTTAGCTTTTTTACTTCAAGGGGCTGGCACTCTTCCAGTTGAGCCATATCTCTACCTCTGGGTATTTGTGAGTTAAATTGGAGATTAAAATCTCTTGTACTTAACTTCCTGGGCTGGCTTCAAACAATGATCCTTAGATTTCAGCCTCCTGAGTAGCTAGTAGGATTACAAGAGTGAGCCCATAATCCAGTTCCTGCTGGAAAGCGTTTTTAAACAGTTTGTATCTATCTTAATTTTTACAAATGTCAATATTATGCCAGTCCCCTCAGTGTCCTATTTCAAGAATGTCTGTCCCTCTTTGACTCTGTAGTGTTTAGGATTGGTTCCATATAGAGACTCTGTCAACAAGGGTGTACATTTGGTCTTTGCAAGTGTGCACAGATCACATTTGCTTACATTTATTCTTTGTTGCTCTGAGGCCTTAACTGGTGTTTAGCAGCATGTTCTGGGGCTAGCTATTTCTCAAAAACCATATTCAATGCAGTCCGGGGCAATTCTACCCAATTTTGTGTGTAAAATGAAGTCTTTCACAGCCTCTGGAGGAGATTATGTATGCTCTCCTGCCTGGATCAAAAAGCAATGTTTCTTCTAAATGCACATCTCAATTTTCCCCAAACACATGTATCACACTTAACCTTGTAGGACCATCAGCTAATCTGTCTGCTGGAAGGCAGATCTCCAACAGGGGCTTCTCAGAGCCAGAAGGGAGCCCTGTGGTCAGAATAAATAAATGACGTCTTCTAAAGGTTTCAGATATTTGAGGCAACATTTTGCTCTATAAACATTAGCAGAAAATCTGAGGTTAGATCTATATCAATGGGCACAATTGGGAAAACAAAACTTGGATTTATTATCATATGTTAATGGTACCAAACACCTTGTTTTATTAAGACCTTTGCATGCTTGAATATAATGTGCACTGGTCACATTTATTCACCATTTACTGTTTAGTCTCCTCTCCTGCCTTCCTTAATAGATCCTTCAACTGTAAGATCTCAAAGTTTTGGGGTTGTGCTGCAGATTCATTTCTGTCATTTGATGACAGAACTCAGGGCCTGGGCATTGTCTCTGAGCTTCTGTGCTAAAGGCTAGTACTCTACCACTCAAGCCACAGCTCCATTTCTGATGTTTTGGTAGGTAATTAGAAATAAGAGACTCATAGACTTTCCTACCTGGGCTGGCTTCTAACCACAATCCTCATAATCTCAGCCTCCTGAGTAGCAAGGATTACAGGCATAAGCCACTAGCACCCAGCTTAGTGTCTCTTTCTTTGAAAAAATAGAATCACATGAATTACAGAGGTCTTCAGCTGGCGTGACCTCATGGCCTTCCCACGGGCTCTGTACGTGTGAGCATTCTCCCATGGTAAACCTGATTTACTCCCAGTTTAGCAAGGGGAAGAGCCTCTCAAATATTTGTGTTTTATAGTTCATATTTGCTCCAAGGTAATTCAAGGAGTGCCCAAACTGGTTTTAAATAATAATGTAGAACTCAGAATCACAATGCCATAGGTATTAATTCTTCCTAAATATAGAGAAGCAACACTTAGGGGAAAGAACGGATCATAAGTGGTGTACACATTGAAAGGCTGAGCTGGGATGGTATATATGATGGAGAATGCTTTTAATGGCTAAAAATGCCTGCTTGAGCAGGGTGCTAGTGGATCATGCCACTATTCAGGAAGCTGAGATCTAAGGATCTCCTTTCAAAGCCAGCTTGGGCAGGAATGTCCGTGAGATATTTATCTTCAATTAATCACCCCAAAGCAAGTGGCCGAGTGCTAGCCTTGAGCAAAAAAGCTCAGGGACAGTACCCAGGCTCTGAATTCAAGCCCCAGGACTCTCCCCTCCACTCCCATCCAACCCCCCGCAAATGAGAAAAGTATAGACTGCTTATCAGAGGACCTTTTCCTTCAACACCATCTTTCCTTCATGTTGGCCCATCTGAAATTCACAGAGCTGCCTGAAGACCCCCGCTGCTCTGTGTGGATGAGAAGGGGACAGCATAGCTAAGAAGGGCCACAGCCCAACACTTCCCATTAAGTCAGAACTACCCGCACTCCACCTGCTTTAATTCAGTCAAGCTCAGTTCTAAAAGATCATCACTGCTGA